TTTGACTGGTGAAGAACAGACAACAGTTACTGTATGGACAGTCTCTCCAATCTCATCCACTAAGTTTTTGAGGATGTACATGGAAATATTCTTGTATCATCCCATGACTTTTCAATAACCTTTTTATTTTATTTTTCTTTAACAGAGTTGCTCGCAGTGTTCTTCTGTCTTGGTGGTTTAGTTCTATCCAGTAGTACTGATTCACCAGTGACTGGACCTTCCAGATACAGGAGCCTCTATACTACAATCACTGCGACACATTCACTGCACTCAGATGATCTCCATTTCCCTAACTGTGACTTCTAGCACCGACTGGCTGCACCCGTGTTGACTTCAGTCACTTTTAAGTGGGTGAACACTTGTGCAATCAGTAGAAATCTGTTTTCACTTCGAAATGCAAATCTTTTAGTAAATTCTTGGGGGAAACAAAACAAACAAATATTGACCACAATCCAATGTTTTAAAACTTCCAATAGGTTTAAAGACACCGTACATTACCCGGATTATCCAGTAGGGAGCAGCAGCAGCAGATGTTATAGGTAGAATGGCACAGAGATCACAAGTAAGATGCCTTTATGCAGTGACAAGTGTTCACATTGACCCGGCACACCACAGTGCTGTATGTCCTTACATTACATACCTCTGTTGGTATGTAACGTACATGGCAGGAGTGTGACGACACTCAGATCTACAGCTGTGCAGCACTATCTGACCTCATTTTTACTGTCATTGCCTGCAGGTGATGACAGATCAGCAAAAAAAACTGGTAGAAAAAGTGCATGAAAAAAGTGTTTTCCTCACTTTGGGAAAGGTTATCAGTGTGACCCAGTTCTCCAGCTTTACATTGACTTGTATGCAGCGGTTAAGTGCAGTAAACACCATGCAGCTCAGACAGCTGAGGGATAGGAAAGAATTTCAGAGTCAATTTATGTGATTTGTCTGTGACAACACCACGCCATAGCAATACCCACATTCCTTGGCATCCACTGGAAATAGTTTCCGGCGTTTGAAGGTTCAGTTGGAGTTTTATAACTGGATTGTACTGTGGCAGCGCGGGGCGGGGAGCGCAGTGTTTTAGCAGCAGGTGGGAGGGTAATTTTAAAGATAGGGAGCGAAGGCAGCACGCCCAAATCTCTGATAAAACACCAGGATTAAGAGCTCAAATGTGAAGAACGTGACGGTACGGCTGTCTCTCCACTGTCTCCAGGGCAATGCCAATGTTTACCCAGCTATTAATATCAAACCACGCACATCGCCTATCACAGGGAGGCGAGTGAGAGTGACGAGAGAGAGCGAAGGGAACAATGAGTCAGAAGGGTTAAAGGGACAAATATTTCCAGAGGAGGAATTTTCATTAGAGGGAGGGCAGCTAATGGCAGAAGTAATAACTGATAAGTTTGGTTTAGTAAACTGTAGATTGAGAGCGTGAGTGGAGATGAGTGTCCCCACTTCAGCTCTGCACAATAACAGGGGAACAGTGTGTTCTGTGCTAATGCAGGAGGTGCAACATGAAAGATAAATGAAGGATGTGAAAAGGTGAAGTGGGGTTCAGGGGGGACACAGTTATTTATGGCAGATTTATCTTGTTCCTTTAAACGTTCCCATTCATTTATCTTCCTCGGTTTGTTCTTTTTTCAGTAATTATCACATCATATGCTTGTTTAGAGTCAAACTGTGGTTGCTGTACTACAGCAGAGAACAGAAGTGAGTCCACACCTGTGCAATATCACCGAGATGTCAAATGATTCAAAAAGGTGTATCTTGTGTAATCTTTCAAAGACAGCCTGGGCACGGCACTGTTTTTGTTTTTTTTTGTTTTTTTTAAAGAATGCTTACATTTATATTTGAGTATGTTTGTGTTTATACGTTCTCGAGCCCATTTATGTCGTTTTCTTTTTGCTGCAGCCGAGACTTTCGACAGTAGCTTCGTTGTTCCTTATGCAAGCTTATGCATGATGACAATAAAAAGGATTCTGATTCTGATCTCCTAATTTCTACAGTAGAGTATTTACTCTTGTAAACAATCATAAACAAATACCTAAGAAAGACAATATTGAAAATGCAGGCCTCAAAGTAGAAACTCAATGCACCAAAAGTGAAATCAGCTTTGATCACAAACTTCTAATCAGCCTAACTATATGAACGTGGTTCTAAAATGAGCTGTGAACAGCAGAACTACGCATGTCTGCATCATGGTTCCACATGGAAAATAATTGGCAGATTAACTAAAAAAAATCTGATTATAAGATTTCACAAAGATGGAAAAGGATACAGGAAGATCAACTAAAAACCAGATGCAGCAGTAATCAGGAGGTATAGAAGGAGCCATAGCACCACTGATCAGAGCTGCAGTGGTCGTCCTCCTAAAATAACGTCACTGACAGAGAACTATTTGCACAATCCAGTGCTGAAAAAACAGATGACAGTTGCTTTAGAGTTGGCACAGGGGTAATCAATGGAAAGCAAAGTGTGGAGGAGAGTTCATAACCTCTGTGGGCAGTGTCCAAAACAAAGACCTTCTCAGGTCTAAAGTGCAAACTGAAACTTTTCCAAACATGAAAAGAAGTCAGATGAACATTAGGAGCCCATTCTTTAGTTAGATGAGAACAAAATACATCTATTGGGCTCAGATGGAGTCCAGCATGTTCGATGTGAACCTGATCAGGACTACCACAGTGAATGCATCGTCCTGACAGTGAAGACCAGAGGTGGGATTGTGATGATATGGGGCTGCATGGTGTTGGTGAGATAACATCTATAGATAAATTAATAACCAATACTGGCTGACAAGATGACTCCCAGTCTGCAGAAGCTTGAAGAAGAGGAATATTCCAGCATGAGAACCATCTAAAGCACAAAACCACACAAGAGTTTCTAAAGAAAGTCAAAGTGAGAATTACGACCTGGACAAGTATGTGACCTGACTAGAGTACAATAGAGCGCTGTGGGGTATTTTAAACACAAAAGTAGCCCAGCACAACCCCTCAAACAAAGAGCAGCTGAAAAAATAGTGTCTGACTAGTGGCAGAACATCGCTGCAGAAATGTGCTGAGGAGGCCTGAGTCTGTCATCTGTCACTGTGTGCTGTATCCTGTTGTCTCTCTTTGATATGCAAAGATTTGCCTGGCCTGTCTGTGTTGGGTGTTTATGCATGACTGTTGAAAAGATCAGTCCATTTACAGTAAGAGGATTGTCTGATGTCTTATTTGCTAGACAACTATACCATTTGCTCTTATTCCTGAACATTGGGTGGACTGTAAAATGATTGCACTTGAGTAAAAATGAATGAACAAAACTGGTTAAACAAATCATTTTGGCTAAACCATCTTGAAGGACCAAAGACACACCAAAGATTCCTCTGTACAGAAAAGCCTGTTATATGTTATATCCCACTTTCTCCTCCCGACAGCCCAGTAACCTCAGGCAATAAAGATTAAAGCCTTCTATTACTTTGTATTATACAGTGATGAACTTGCAGGTCGGTGTTGGTAGAGTTATAACATCGTCCTCACAGCTGAGCTCAGCTGTTATTGCCTGGTTCAAATCACTGGAAACAGTCTCCACTGCTCAGGGTTTATTTTATTATCATGTCTGCCTCTCTGTTATCTAAACTCTTAGTGTGTCACCAAGCCTCTCCTCTCCTGATTAATTTTTATTATTATTTTTTGTTAAATTACAGATAATTAGTAAAAATCACAGGAAAAAAAAAAGATTAACTTATGCAAGCTACAAGTAATGTCCACATCAAAATAAGTAATTTTACAAATCAAAATTTAGCCATAAAATTGTGTTTTAACTGTATTTAAATCAGCAGAAAACATCATTGTTTCACAGACATTTATTACTGAAAGGAAAAACAAATGTATTAAGGATAAGAAAATGGTTTTAAAACAATAATAACAATATTAAAACATAAATTATTCTTATTATTATTATTATTAAATTAACTGAAAATATACCTAGATAAAGTCTAGTTAATTTACAGAAAGAAAGTACGAATTTATTTGGTAAAATAAGGCCAAAATTGTACAAAATGTTCACATGAAAAATCTGTATTTATACAAATGTTCCTTTTCAGTGCGTGACTGTAAAACTACACTTTTAGTAGGATATAAATCTAATAAAGATAGAACTATTTCATAGATATTTCCTATTATTATACATGTTTGAAAACTGGGAGGAAGCTGGAGAACCCAGAGAGAACCCACGCTACACGGGGAGAACATGCAAACTCCAGGCAGAAAGATCCCGGGTGTCCTCACTGGGACGTGAACTGGTGACCTTCTTGCTGAGAGGCAACAGTGCTACTAACTGCGCCACCTTGCAGCCCAGTTTTCAAACATGTGAACATTAATCAATCATTTTCTCACTTAGGTTACCGTTTATTATCTATGTGTTTATTTTATGTATATGTCTTTGCTGTGGAACTATTTTTGCTGGTAGAGTGACCTTCTGGTAGCTCAGGACGGCTGTTGAAGAAGTGCCTGAGGGTCAAGAGGTCTGAGGTCAGCCAGAGGAGACACTTTTACAGTCCTAAAAAAGGTTTGGGGATGATATATGCAGTGGTTGGTGGTTCTTGACAAATTTTACTGGGGGGGCCAAGGTGGGGCCAGGGTTTAGTCACAGGGGCACATTAAGAAACGACAACAATGATATTCAATGAGGTTATCAGGGCCAGTGTTGAAATGTGTAACATAAGGAACATTTAAACATAAGTGGTTTGGTTTCCTGCCATTCAAACTCTACTATCACGACAGCAACAGGATACGGCGGTTGTGCTGTCTGGCAAACTGGTTCTGAAATATGTAAAGATCCAAGGCCTTGGTCCTTCTGGATTCTATACTCAGGACACCAAGATCACTGAGTCGATCATCAGCAATGGTGGACGACCTCGCTCTCAGAACACATGAACAAAAGGGGAGCGGTAAGGCGGGAAAAACTCATATTGTATGTAGGGGTACAGGGACCCCCAGCAAAGGTTCCACACAACAACTGAGAGGTGTAACTTTGTGTAATTATAACAATAAACATAATAATAAAACATGTATATTATATATTCCTAATACAATAATACATATATATTTAACCCACAAACACTGCTGCTCCACTGACCCTCTTACATCTCTATCAATAAGTTTACCATCCATACTCAGCACGGGTGGATACTGTTATATACTTTACTCACCACTGGTCCAATAAAACAGTCCTGCATTATGTGGTGTCCTCGCGGAGGTGACGTCATCAAGTACACTGATGTTCCAATTGCACATTAACCGTGAGTCCGTATATGTCCAGGAGACAGCACAGAGAGCAAAGCCGGGCTACAGTTTGGGTGCTACTTCATCGTATAGAACAGGGGTTCCCAAACTTTTCAGCCCGCGACCCCCAAAATACCGGTTCCTGATACTGGCGACCCCCACTATCCCTGGAGGTGACTGAAACATAACAAAGCATGCACACACTAATAGGTGTATCCAATCACGGGCAAAACCACAACAAAAAGGAACAGAACCGCCTGACAACCATGATATGATGTTACATATGACAACTTACTACAGGATGAAAGCATCAGTCAACATTTAACTTGTGAGTGAACATTGTTGCTGTCATGTGTGACTTGTACGCTTTAATTTCCATGTAAGCAGAAGAACATCTCAGTCATAGTAGCAGCTATAACATGTGAGTGAACATGTGAACATCATTGCTGTGCAAAAAATAACTATGCTTCAGTGTTGAGCTAGCTAATGATATGGGCTGGTACTATGCATGGAGCACAACAAGTCCATTCTGCTACCCACCCTCAGGGCCTTTGAGAACCCCTGGTATAGATCACAGAGCTGCATTAGTTTCGGTTTCGGCACATGTCACCGTTATGAAGTTTATTACTCAGTCAGCACAGGGGCCAGTGGACAGGGGCACCGGCCTCCATAGGCTCCTGAGTAGAACCGCCTCTGCTTATACGGTATGGAACCCATAACAGGGTTATATGTGCATCTATGTATACTGACCAGTTAAAATCAATTTCTGTCTGTTTACTATAAAAGCTGCTTTAATGTGCACGTCTCCTTTAAGAACAAACTCTGTTATTCTCCATATCAAATTCTAGATCCAGCAAAGTGTTCTGTGTTTTTTTTAGTACAATGATAAAGCATATATCCATGACAAATGTTAAAATATGCCACTGTTTTTAAACTTTTTTTTTTTTTGGCATCCTTGCTGCCAGATCTTCATCGTTTGTTTTCAGTGCAGTGAATAAAATCCCATCGATGTACGTGTTGCATTTGAGAAAGTCAAACAAAACCGCCGACGATTGGTTTAACTTTTATTAATAAAAATAATAAATATCTAGGAAAGAAAAAAAACATTTCAGCATCATTGCACACGATTTAAATTCATTTACATTCTCTCAGCTAGTGCAGAATCTGCTCCTCTATCTGATATAATTACAAGATCACAGTCAAAGAATCAGCTTAGTGGTTTTTCCTTTTTGATTAGAGCTCGCACACACATATTTTACTATATGTACAGCTGCGGTGTGTGATCCTGCCAGCGCATTCTGTTCCCTTCACGCCGATCACAGACTGGCAGGAGCTTCTGGAGGCCCGGAGATGTTTCCACGTCATGTTTCCCGACCCCCTCGACCCCTCTGTTTTCACCTTTCACCTTCCTCTTGCCATCCTTAGCTACCCTCAGACCTCGTTTACCCTCGGTCGCCACATTTAAGAGCACTTTCGTCTACCTTACAAGGACATTTTGCGCTTTGGTGAAGGTGCACCAGTGATTTGTGGATATGGTGAAACGGCACCTTCACCATTTCTGATACCAACAAAGATAAAAAAGTGGCATTCTTAGAGCTCCAACAGTCACTATTTCTATATACATCTCATCATAATCTGTGATCTTTCCTTCCCATCTGTCATCCTCTCTCCCTAACATCCCCGCTTCTTCTTCTGTCCTTTTCTTTTTCACCCCCTCTGGGCCTCCTGGGACATGGAGCGACCGAGGGCTTTGGGCGCTTTGGCGAACTCCATGAGGGTGGGTTTGACTGGAGGCAGGTCTCGGGTGATGTCGTCCACGGTCCTCTTGCTGGGGCAGATGCCGTCCGGAGTGGGGAAGGGCTGGAAGTCCTGCTCGGTGTGGGGGGCCCCGCGACCCAGCCGGGCGCCCAGCTCGGCGGGGACGAAGATGGGCAGCGGGAGGGTGATCCTCTTGGGCAGCAGCTGGTGCTCCCTCACCCCTCTCTCCACGGTGCCCACTCTGAAGACACCGGAGGGGCAGGACTGGATCAGGGGACGGGCCTGCCACTGCCGGGTCAGAGTCTCCCTGCGAGAGTGGTCGTTCATGTTCATGGTCTGTCTGTGGGAGGGAAGTCGGAATATTTAGCCAAGAGGAAGTAGATGTCAACCCATGTGTATCACTGGGATATGTGGTCGGTCTTACCTGTCCTGAGGTTGAGTCTTGAGGCTGACGCTGTGCCAGTCGGCGCTGTAACTCTCCCTCTGAGCCTTATTCTCCTCCCGGACGCTGCAGGACAGCTCGGCTCCCACCACCACTCCGTTACGCTTCTCCATCGTGGTGCAAATAGGCATCATCTCGCCTCCAAGTGGGTCTCAGGTGTTCGCTCAGGGAAAGGGATGCTTCAGCTGGCTCTGTCTTCAAGCTCTGCCTCCGTCTGTGCCATCTACACCGGAGCTGGAGACTTTTATAGATGCTCCGCTGCTATTTCTGCTTCATGTTGTCACTCTACAATCAGCGAGTGCCGACATCCGACACCGAGTCCTCCGTGTCTCGTTCCCGGACAGCTGGAAGTGGCTCCGAGGAGGAGGGTTTAGGGTAATTAGGAAGGAAAATCCCCTGATTCTCAAAGTGTACGTCCAGTAACCTCTGTAATCACTCAGCCCAACACTTTCCACTTCAGAGGGGGGGGGGAGAAGAACCACGCAGACCGCGGGGGGAGATTATGCAAACATGTAGGCAACAGGTTTGGTCTTAAGGGAGGAATCTTAATAAGATTTTGGTTTTGATAAAGACGAAGCTGCGAGTGAGGCCTTCGCTAATGTGGAAAGAAAGCAGGATGCAGCTGTTGTCCAAACAAAGGAGCACAGGAAAAAATAAGTTCACATATCTATCTATCTATCTATCTATCTATCTATCTATCTATCTATCTATCTATCTATCTATGTACACAACTTAACCGTTGCTAACAGCATAAAGACATTATGGTCTGGTTTTTGCTGTTGTTGTTGTTGTTTTTTTCAACGTGTAAATGTTTGGGTTTTTTCTATGTTTTCTATGAAAATCTATAAAAACAAACAAACAAAAAAACAGTAACTTGTTAAAAACTGTTAAATTTTTATTTTTTTTTTTACAGTGTATGTTTGGGGCACTTACAATAACTGCCTTTTACAGTTTTTGAATGTTACAGGATTATACTGAACTTTGCTGTTGTTTTGTTTTGTTTGACTAAAGTAAGAATTTAAAATGTTTAAAAATCA